ACACTTTAGTGGTCACATGTTTTTACTCATTTGTCATCAAACTTGGTCAGGATGCTTGTCTAGGTAATTTCTCGCATAAATTTGAACGATTACATAAACAAGCAAACAAATGCTACAGAAAATGTAAATAACGACTTCACTTTAACAAAAACTAGAAAAAAATCATACATACCAGAGTGCACATTGTCTATTAATGTTTCGCAAATTTCATCCTATACACACCTATATTTCTAAGAATGTTGTGATTGCGTTAACAAATTTAATTTACAGATCTTTTTGTGTTATCTACAAACAGAATGGCTTAATTTGACAAATTAAATGTTTGATCTAGATTTATAGATGTTCATTTATGTCCAGAGGCTTTATTAGAAGTAAATAAATTGTGCAACAATTGCAGTACTTTTGTTGTCATACATAATATGAATGTTGGAGCCAATAGGGGAGAAAATGAAAGATTTAGGTTGCTTATTGATGTCAAATCATTATTTTCCCGTAAAAATCAATATTTAATTATCATTCTTTAAGGCTGTGTTATTATATTATTGTCAAAAAATTCAGTATATATACTGAAAAAGTCAATATGTGTATATCGAAATTATGTTCATGATTGAAATAATAACAACATGAAACGAAAAAGTGATCAGCTTTTTTGACCGTATTTAATGACGGACTGTATTTGATGACAGTTTAAGGATTTGCAAGGGCTGTACAATGTTTTGCATTACAATTGAACAATATCCGTTCATATACTGTACTTAAAACCTCTCAAAATGCTGTATGTTCAATGCCCTTTTCCACGTTTGTATCAAATAAAAACAAAGTGTATAACAATATATTCGGATGGCTTTAAAATATGTACCTAAATTAACAATATGTTGTTTTTTAAAGTTCAAGCAATTGATGACATGTGTGAAGTCCTTACTACTCATGTTGAAATTATATATAATCATTTTTATCTAGTTCAGCAGTTTTCCTTTATCATTTTAATTTTAAAGATCATGTATGCTTTGTGATTGATATTGTTACTGTGTGTATATCACACTTGCAAAAAAATATATATGTATATAATTATGCAATAAACATTTTCAAACATCGAAGAATATGTAAAATGTGCACTGCAAATATTTGTGCACATTATATTTAATCAATAAATTACATGCATTAATTTCTTATTGGAAAATTTAACTTAGAATTTATAGAAAATAAATTTCTAATTATCTCCATTTATTTACATGAAATGATAAATTAGGTAATGTCTAATAATGCTTATTGGAACTTACAATATTGACAAATCTTAATTTGAGCATCGTATTTATGAAAGAAAACCATTAAAAAATTGTGTTACAGGATCTTTTAAATATCTTTTTTTATTCTTTGGATTCAGGCTAATTTGAATGATTTTGCTTACTTTAGGTATTTTTTCTCAATAGTTTATAATCAGTCTGTGCATACTTTATTATCTTGTCAAAATGCAATTAGATATTATTGACATGCTGTTACCAAAACAAAATAAATACCATTTGAAATTGTGCAACTTATTTTCTATAATTAATATATTTATCAAGAAAACAGCTATAGCAATTTTTATTAAAGGCCCGGTCACACAGCCCTCCACGGGCGTATCGCGGCCGAATTACGGACAAAAATTTCTGCCCGTGAGGCAGACGCTGTTGGACGCTTTGAGGTCGCGATAAAGACGCGATACAGCCGTACTTTACCCGTCGTTACACGCGGTAAGAAATTCACACGCGGTTGGCCGCGCGAAAAAGTTTTGGGCTGCCCAAAAATTTAGACCGCGGGTAATCGCGGGCGGTACACGTGGTACACACGCGGTAAAGACGCGGTACAGACGCGGAACGAACGTGCTAGGACGTGCTACGGCCGCAGTTAAGACGTGGTTACACGCGGTAGGACGCGAAATTTTAGCGGGTAATCGCGGGTGGAGCACGGTCATAGCACGTTTGCTCCGCGTCTGTACCGCGTTGTTATCACGTGCATTAGCGTGTGTACCGATTGTAAGTACGGACAAACGCCTTTCTCCGCGTAAACAGCGCACCCCAATACCGGCCTAATCACGTTCAGTTGCGTCTAGTACACGTCCCAAATACGATTGTCCACGGCCTAATCGCGTCCGTACAACGTCTGATTTTAGGAATATAAAAAGCGAGATTTGCCGAGCATTCGTCAGTTGTGCTCCAGACGTCAAGGGGTGAACATGGATCACCGTAATAACCTCGTCTTGCTGCTCCAGCAGCATCAGAACCAAGTGGTACAGGTACATCAGCTCCTCATTGACAAAAGAAGGCGAAGGAGGAGGAGGAGGGTGGTCCGGAACATCTGGGTGCACGACTGGATTGGCAGGAGACCTTAGCTGGGGCTGTACGATCGTCTCATGGTGGAGCTCCGTAATGAAGATCCAAGGGCCTCCCAGAACTTCATGAGAATGCCACCTGCCATGTTCGATGAAATTGTGTAGAAACTGACACCAGCCCTTACCAAAGAGACCACCAACTTGCGAGCACCCCTTGATCCAGGCCTGAAGGTTGGCCTCACCCTGAGGCACCTTGCTTCTGGCGCCAAGTATCGTGAGATGCAGTATGGCTGGAGGGTCCCTCACAACACCATCAGTCTGGTGTTGCGCGAAGTGTGTGCGGCCATCGTCGAGGAGTTCCGTGATGAGCTGCTCGCGCCACCACAGACTGCTGCAGAGTGGCGTCAGATTAGTGACAATTGGATGAACAGTTGGAACTTTCCGCATGTCATTGGTGCAATAGACGGCAAGCACAATGCCCGTAAATATCCTGCCAACACTGGGTCCGACTACTTCAACTACAAGTTTCTTCAGTGTCATCCTCCTGGAAGTCGTCGCATCTGACTACAAGTTCCTCTGGATAGACGTCGGCGGCAAGGGGTCTTCGTCTGATGCCCACATCTACAATGCAAGTGATTTCAGAGAGGGTCTCCAGAACAGCCCGGTTCGGCTGCTTTATTATACCCGTGGTAGGCCGCGGTACCGCTGCGCTTCACCCGTGATAAGGACGCGGAACAGTCGCAGGCGTCTGTTCCGCGGGCATACCACGGGTAAACAGCGGGTAAGCCAATTTTGCACATTTTCCACCACGGGCAACCGCGGGCAAAAAGAAATAGCGAAATTTTACCCGCGATACAAACGCGAAAGGCTGTGTGACCGGGCCTTAAACAAGTTAGACTTCGTGCAAGCCATCTCAAACTCTATCGCATATGAGATACAATTGAAGCTGTGATTTATGTTCAATTTACTGTGGGTCGTGGCTGATGGCTTTATATTTGACATAATGATTAAATCTAGGTAATTATCGTCTAAACCCTGAGAGAGGCAATCGAAATTATATTCATCTTATTTTTTCAGACATTGATATCACAAGATCACGTTACAATGTCAATCACAGTTTGAATACAAATGCAGACGGCGGGGATTTATATTTGAAAGCGTATTAAATAGTATATCTATCGGCAAGATAGAGAGTTTCATTAAATATTTCGTTCCTGCTTGTTTTTCTGGTAATACCCCTTACTGCTTTTAGAAAACATTTACGATACCTAACAATATTAACAATATGAACACGATGTGCAACATGCACATGAATTAGTGTTTCGTTTTCCCATTTGTTAAAACTCTATGTGTATCAAGTTTGCTTTGAAGACATTCATGAATCATGTGACAATTATGCCTACACGTTCATTCAATGTTATAGCATTTCACACGAATTTCTAAACATAAGAAAGTCAGTTGACTTGATTTGAATAAATTCTTTTCCTTATTGACACAAAGCTATTGTGTACCCAATATAAGCATTATTCTATTAATCACTGGTCATGATTAATTTAGTTGTTGCAGTAGTTTTTATGTAAAATTGTAGTCACTGACTGCTAAGCAATTTTAGTCAAATATACACATATTACTTGATGTTTGATGAAACCCAGTCTGCAATTTTCATGTAATTTTGTTGTGATTAATGCTTCCAAGATATCCTTTTTTTCCAGATTTTGATACCTTAAAACTGCTACTACTATGAACTGACCAACTGACAGGTTCTGTAACAAGACATAATAATTAGACCTTGAAAGTCCTCTAGTAAATGATTTATAATGTAACAATCCTGATAATTCTGATAAATAAAAAGCATGATAATAATATGAAATTAAACGGCCTTTTCCGTATCTGCTGTCCTTTATTATTTCGGAATCATACATTTAAGTTTTAACGAAAATAATCATGATGGTTATTATTATCTATACGGATGATACAAGTATGATATGCCAATTTATAAAATGATGACATATGTCGTCATATAGAACATGGTCACATGCGATGCGCTCATTTGTTTCCGATTTAAATCATATCGTATGATCTAAATCGATCATGGTAGTATTGTGTTATTCATTCAAATTGGTTTAGAAATTGAACATATTGAATTGCTGGATATATCTACGTTTAAGATAATCATAACACGTAATTTACAAATAAATTAATAATCTTATTTTTTTAATTAATATGATTAATTAGGCAAATATATCGAAAGAATCAGTTGATAAATCTTCACCTTAGTGCAGTAACCGGTTAACTCATAAGAGAACCATATTCGTTTCTTCATTAAGGTAAAGAAATACATGTAGATCAGTTATAATATTGTGCTTACACATACATGAGCACTAAATAACTCCTGCGCAAAACGTCAGCGATGCAATTTATTGTACTCTTGCATTAAATTCACGATTATCCATCTTCGCCAACAGTAGTTGTGCCCGCGGAAATGTTTTGTAGTTGAACACATATATGACGTGGTTGAAAAACATTTCAGAGACCTACGCTAAGTCTCTGGTTTTCTTATATGTTCACAAAGTAAGTGTAAAAGGCAATACTCGATGTACGAAATACGCTTAATATGCTTGTTATCAATAGAGCATATCGTAATAATGTAATAAACGTTTTTTATTACCCTTCCAGATTTTGTCCTCGTTTTTGATTGGATATTGATCCGCCGAACGAAATTGATATAACCGAGCCAGGCGGGTAATATACACACTAAATTTCCCCGTTGGGTACCCCACGTTGTAAACAATATGCGCTGTGAAGATGCGCGTACGGTTCAATTTTGCGCAATGTAAATCCCGATATTAAAGCACTTTTTAACCGTCAAATATAAACAATTACCAAGCTTAAGTAATGATAAACATTCTCATCAGCATTTAAAACAAATATAATCTCGTCAAAGCTTTATATTAATTCAAAAAAAGTGTCTTCAATAAACAACTCCTTTTCTCTTGTTTACATTCGTTAGGTACCAAAGTAAATTGTACATGTATACATCTACAGACGAACTTTTGAAAATAAATAAACAAATAATTAAATTAAAATAATCTGTACTGAATGCAAATTTTAACAAAAATTCATGGCTTTCATTAAAAATCTAAATAAATTATTCAAAATTAAATAAAAGAAATAACTTTTGGAAAACAGTAAGTGATTACAATCAGCTTTTAAACATTAATAACATTTGTAAACAAATTTACTTATATTATAAAGGGAATAAACTTTACATACTGTAATTGATGTAAGATAATTATGGAACAAACACAACAAAAGAAACGTTTTGCTACTCTTTCTGAAAATGATATAGAAAACAAAAAGCTTAAAGTAATAGCAAAGAATACAACACAATGTAACAAACTGGCAGCAAATACCTTTAAAGAAAACTTGAAAGAAAAAAACATGAATGAAAATTTTGAATTATTATCAGCAGAAGAACTTGCTGAAATGTTACAACATTTTTATCTAGAGGCACGCACAAAAGATGGAGAACTGTATAAGAAAAAATCATTAGAAAGTTTACGTTACGGTATGAACAGATACCTTAAATTACCACCACACAGTAAACCTTTTGACATAATAAGTAGCCCTGAATTCGCAGTTGCTAATGAAGCGTACAAGGCTGCACAATGTGAAATAAAAAGATCTGGAAAAGCATCTGTCGACCATTATCCTAAAATTGAAGACAGTGACCTTGTTAACTTGTATCATAGTGTCTACCTGTCTCCGAATACTCCGACAGGTCTACTTAATCGGGTTCAAATGAACATCCGTCTCTACTTTTGCAGAAGAGCAAATGAAAACATGTATTCAATGACAAAAGATACATTCAAAATAAAAACGTATCCCAACGGGAAAAAGTATATCTGCAAGGAACTGGATGAATTAACAAAAAATCATAGAGATGACAATGAGCTCATCTCTGGCCATATGCCAGAAGACACTGACTGTGGTGATCTCTGCCCTGTTAGGTAGATACATTTTTATGATAATATTCTGTTTGAGACTATACAGTTATTTTGAATAATAAGTTCAATTACATTTACAGTTCAAGTAAACATTGTATATTAAAGCTGCACGCCTCCAGATAAGCCAAAACATTTCAAGAAAATCAATATTTAGAAAAAATACGTTATAGATCTACTAAAATTTAAAGAAAGGTGAAAACATTCAAGATCCAAATAATATTTACATGCTATATTCTGTTTAAAACTTAATTTGCAGTATTTTATCATCATATTTGATTTCTACAGCGTTACTAACGCAATAAAGGTTGTTTTTGCACTTTTTGGTAATTTCCTTATATTGTAAGTACCGATTGAAATATGTAAATTGCTTTTTTTGTTCACCTCACAATATTTTACTTTCAAATACAATTCCAAAATTTTTATGAAAATTAACATGAATCTGGAGGCGTGTTGCTTTAAAATTTAACTTAAAGAGTTTTTGGTTCCTGGTCCCCCTTCATGCAATGAGAAAAGATATCTATAAATCATTTTCATGGCATGAAGTATTATCTGCTTAATTGCAGGGGTATCATTGGATGCCATCCAACTCATTGTCGCCAGGTTTAATCTAAGATTTCTATAACTAAGCAACACTACTTAACCTACCAAATAAAAATAACCATAGCCAAAGCAAACATTTGTATATTAAAGACTCTAGTGTATATTCATCATCATGCTTAAATTTTGTTTCCTTTCAATATTTCTTTTTTTTTTCCCAAACAGAGTATATGAAAAGTACATATTGAAACTAAACCCTGGCACAAACCGTCTCTGGCAATATCCAAGAGAATGCTACCTAACGGATGATGATGTATGGTTCCAGAACAAGCCGATGGGAAAAGACACACTCCAGAAATTCATGACAAAACTCAGTAAAAGTGTCCCTCTATCAAAGGTATAATGCCTTTTGCCGTAAACCATACTTAGGCCATCTTTAAAAAATGTTTGTTTGCAGTAACGCGACCGACTCGAAAAATTTGCCCCTACTCAAAAATTTTTTTCATGGTCTGGATAAAAAAAAAAAATTTGAATCAGAAAATTATGCCTTGTGCTTTGTTTTCAAATGTAGGTCTTATCAAATTAGAATTCAGTTATCAATTTATCAATTGTTACCAGATTATCAAAGCATATATTGTCCAGCATTTTGAAATTCCATGTTTATTTGGGAGTACAGTTCAATAAAAAAAAATCAGCCTACCTACCCACCTTGAAAATTCTGGGTCGGGTTACTGCAAACAAACATTTTTTTAAGGATGGCCTTATATGAATAATTTAGTTTTCCAAAAAACACTATCATATGTTGAACTCTAGTCCTATATGAATTATATCTAAAAATTTTAATAATTTTCTAAAAACAAATACTGAAAATATGTTTAATTTATTGAAATATTAAAAATAATGGATAATCTAAAATTTCAACTAAAAAAGTTTAATAAGTAACTTTTGCATACTTCCATGTATTAAGAAATCCTGAAAGTTTTGCCACAATCCTAAATTCGAAATACAAATTAATAAAGCCAAGATTTGAATTTTATAGAAAATACATGGTTGATGTCGGGATGGAGAAGTTTTATCCGGTGAGCGAGAAACCGGATAAACCTTCTCCATCCCTACATCAACCATGTATTTGATTTATCCTGCTTTTTATCATGTTTTTAGAATAATTAAATGGTTTCATTCTTCTTTTCCCCCGATAAAATAGCATCTATATGCATCTTTGTTTTGCTGCTAAATATGTGACGTCATCATATGACGTAATGACTGGAGATAGATAAGTTTATCCGGCAAGGCTTTATCCAGCTGATGATATAGACAGTAGCAGGATAAAAAAAATTTCATAATTAATAATGGCTGAAATTTATATTTAATGAGAAATATTCCACCACAATTAATTTTTAACAAAAAAACTTGAATAATATTCAGATTTTTCAAAAATAAACCAAGATGTATAATATATTTCGGGAAAACCTTTATATGAAAAGAAAATGGATCAAACAGAACAGTAGCTTTAGATAAGCCTAACAAATAATGTCCCTTATAAGTTATATAAATTTTCTTTCTCTGAGGAAAATTTCAGTAACAGTAGGTAGAAAAAATATGAGTTTAGGTCACAGTGATTGTTCTCACTTTATTGGAAAGAGACCTTAGCCTCTTGATTTTGGGAAAAATTATTGCTAAAAATGCTGATTTGGGAAGTAAAAAAGCATGTTTCAGTTCAAATTTTTGTGAAAACTGCATGATTTTAAAGAAAATTTCAATTGGGAAGAGGCCTTTTATCGGAGTATGTTATATTAAGAGGAATTTCATTGAATCAGTACACATTTTTGTCACTTTTCAGGTTTACACTAATCACAGTGTACGTGTTACTGGTGCATCACTTCTGGGAAAATACAGCTTTTCGCCAGCACAAATTATGTCCGTAACCGGGCATAAATCTTTGTCAGCCCTTTCAGTGTACCAAAGGGTAACTGATGAAGAGAAGATGATGATGGGAGCAGCAATCGGTTCTATTACAAAAGAAAAGACAAAAAGTCTCCCTTATGGTCAGGCTGAAATAAAAGGAACAGCTACATATGCCCTTGAAATGGCACCACGCCCTTCATCATCTGCTTTGTTGCCAATACATTCAAATGTTTTACCAGGGCCCAGTATAAATGAAAGTATATCTCAAGCTGAACTTGCTGATCTCAATTTGGATGAACTGTTCTGTGACTTTGAGTCTGATAATCACGCAATTACAAATACAATGAACTCCCAGACAAATCTCAGTGTCCGCAAGGCCCCAGTCTATATGAACTGTACCTTCAACATAACAATAAATAACAATAAGTAAAACCAGCACCACATCCTTGGTTCTGACTTCTGGCAACTTTTCTGTTTCTGACCTAGATCTACTCATAATTTAAAAAAAAAAAATCAACAAACAAAACAAAAAAACACATACATTATAGATCTAATTATTCTTATTAATTTAAGCTTGAAGGTGAAAAAGGGATTTTCTTTCAAGATAATAAAATCTTGTTTGAAATTGTGCTAAACTACAAACACATTTTGAAATCATAATGATATTTTAAATTATTATTGGATTTTCATGTACTGTTAGTGTACAGTAGTGACTACAGTACTGCAATACTGTATAGTAAAAAATTCTTACTTTTGAGATTGAAAGAGAAAATAAATTGCTGTCCTGGAGTCTGGACTAAGAAATGTTAAATAAATTTTTCATCACTTTTTAATAATGATTTTAATAAACAATTATGAACTGTCCCTTTCGATTTTCCCTCAAATTGACTGAAATTGTATATTTTTCCATCTCTTCTACAGTACATGAAATTGATGAATCATTCAATGAAAACTTAATGTGTGCCTGTTGTACATAATAAGGCCAAAAAAAAAAGTTACTTGTTTCCACTACCCCGACCGACCCTATTTTTTTGCCGCCGACCCTACATTTTTTTTGGACAAAAAAAAATCGTCGATAGTCATTTTCTCTTTCCGAGTATTACCATTCCTTTCCTCTTATTAACTATCTTTGCGCGCTTTAATATTACTATCGGCGAGACGCTTTACCTGTAGAGTAAAGCGTTTATCGATATGAAACATGGCTACGAGTATTTTGAATGTTACAATTGCAAAATGTAAACATTTCGCAGGGGTTAGAAAGATATGTACATTTCCAAACAATGCCTTGATATCTGATATTTTCTTTGAATTACATGGATCAGTCAACAGTGCCGATTTAAAAAATAACATAGACAATTTAAGTTTGTCGGTAGTCGGTTCAACATCCCCTTCGTGTACAGATTTCAAAGATTTACCGGAGGTCGACAGTTGTGCAGTTTGGATTAAGATCTCTTTTTCTCAGATGCAAAGAAGAGCCAACTCTCCTAGAAAGTGTTGCCATCGCAGCAGAAGCAGCAACACACAAGGCAGCAAATGCATTTGAACTGCTGATGGGAAAGGGAGAGTGTTTTCCTGATAAAAAATCTACAAGGTTTATAAATGAATAAAAAATTACATTTATATTTTAAAATATTTTTAATTTCTAATTTATATGCTACTGGTAACAGTGTTGATTTTAATCTGAATGCAAATTTTACTTTTTTAATTTTGCATTTGATCAATGCAAAATCGTTTGACAATCATTGAAATAATTTATATATTTAACTTATAAAATTTAAAAAAAAACATTTTATAAAAAGGAATATTATAATAAAATATTTATTATTTTAATACATCAAAATAGACAGTTGTTTAAAATGACAATTTAGGCTAGCAGACTATAAAATATTTAAACAATATGATTATCAAGACTTTAATCCGAGTATTTGAGTTTGATTGAGCCAGTCTGTTCATGGATGGCACTGGAATGTGTAAGCCACCCTCCAAGCCCCTAGCACTGGCTTAAGCAGAATTCAACATTTTAAATGAAAGTTATTTTTCACATTTCAGTTCTGGGGTAAAATATGGCACTGTGAATGCAAAAGATGTTTTGTACAACAAACTGGTAGACTTGTTTTGTGACGACCAATCAAGATGATAACATGGTTTGTATATGAATATGTTGTAATTTAATAATCAAGATAATAAAAGGACAACACTTTTTTCATATTTTGTTTGCATTCTTGGCATATAGGTCTCTTTATGCCCAAGTTGAAATAAAGTTTAAGACTTTTAAATTAAAGTTAATGAACAGTTTTTAGGTAAAGTATTTTGGCAGTTTTACTTTCAAGGAAGCTGCCTTTATTGTAATAGTTTCCATTTTTATTTTATAGTGTCATAATACTAATATTAAATACTTTAAAACAAAGTTTATATACATTGTTTAATATACATCTGTCAAGTGCATTCAACCCAATTTTAAATATTAGAATCTGTCTATATTTTCACAGGATGTTGAACAGAGTGTTTCTGATGTGACTGAATCTGAAGCACCATTTCCACTTACAGCTCAGACAGCACGAGGGATAGTTAATTGTGTGGAGTGTGAAAAACCTAGAGTTTATTATTGTAAAACCAAATTGTCTAGTCGTCAAAATTTAGTTCTGATAACAGCTATTTCTGAAAATGATTACACATGTGGATCTCCTCTTTCTGGACATGAACTGCTGAAAAATGTTTATATTAAGACTGCTGTTAATTGTGGCAGTCAAGTGGAGTTTCCATACTATAGCAGTGACTATAGGTTTTATGTGCGCGCATACTGTGGAGATAGTGATGCATCTGTTGATACAGAACTGAAAAAAACGTTATAGAACAGTCCTTCCCATTTGTGCCAATTGTAAAAATGGTGGAAAAGTGTCTGTGACAAAGAGACCTTATGGAAAAGAGTAGTGACTGTTTTTTTATTATAAAAATTGAGGGACAGTGGTTGGACGAAAAAAATCATAACATGCACAATTATTAAATGTTTATTCTGGAACAATATCAGTGCAAAAATAAACATATATATATATGTATGTAATAAATTTTATATTGAAAAGTATTTTTTTTCAACAGCATGCCACAGTATCTTGACACTAAACAGCTAAATACCAAACACTCTAGCATTTTACTGCAGTCTAAACTTACTTCTAAGTGTCATTTATTATATCATTTCTTTACTTACATATTCATGAAGTCAAGTTTCACAAAAAAAAAAAAAAAAAAAAATTCCTACCTACCGACCCTATTTTTTTTCAGAGCTGGTAGTGGAAACAAGCTATATTTTTTTTTCTTGGCCTAAGTGTAAAACAATGTGTATAAAGTTATTTTTTTTTCTTTGAAAACTATTTAAGTTTTCGATTCTTTTGTTGAAATTATATGTGTATCAAATGTTTCATGTTTAATTTGCTTGTTCACTTGTTAAATGTGTTGTTTATCAAATTATTTGTTCCCTTTTCCCCCATAAATTGGTGTGTTTCCCTTGTTCAAGTTTTGTAACATATCTTATCTAGATCAACTTTGATCTCGATATAAATCCATGCAGATATATTCAATAAAAAAAAATATTTAAATTGATTAACTTTACTTTGCTGCAGGATAATTGTTATTATTAACTATGTTCATTTGTTTAAAAGTTAGGTTTAAAATGAATTGAACAATGTTGAACTGTTGAAATATGAACTTGATTCACACGTGTACTGTAACTAATCCAGGTCCAATGTTTGGATTTCTGTTTGAATAAACTCTTGTTGAAAATAAATAAATTGTTCAAGACAATTGGCTCACTTACTTGTTCAATAGAAATAGCATTATAACATCCAAATCCCTTTTAATATTTTAATCCATGCGAAATCACATTTCAAATTATGTTAACACAATCGTCGCCGCCTACAACTGGCTACATTACACAATGCATAGTTCAGTGTGACGTCATTCTGCGGTAAAGTGAAGAGGTACCCTAAAGGGGATCTTATTTCGTCTTCAATTGACACCGCTACAATCTATTTTAAAATCGTCTTACTCTACAAGGAAAGGGTAATAAAATTGTTATTTAGGTTTTGGAGTGATATATGTGGATATATTACCTGTCAAGATTTTATATCACCCGAGCCGTTAATATGTAGGTTATCTTAAAGGTAAAGGCAACTCAACCTTATCGTATGTATAAAATACAGTTACAGACAGTATTAGACGTATACAGTGAAGACATAATAAAATGGCTTACATATATTAAAGTTAAAGCTACATTAAATAAATATGTTAAAATATTTTTGCTGTCGGCCTAAAAACCAAGCATTCTATAGTTTCATTAACCTTTTTAACAGTATCGTTGTAAATCTCATCAAATATTGTTCATAAATTAGGATTTCTAAAGGAAAACCCCACGGTAACACTAGAGTTCGTATACGAATTTTAACATGCAAATGAAGACTATGATCAGCCCGTGTATGCGCTACGTCACGGTGTTATAGTTGCTATCCGGAACACAGCAAATATAAGATTTTCTTGTGCAAACACACTTTTACATTAAATTTTTAAGCTTCACGGTGCACTAGGCCAAAATAATATCTGGAGTCGATATGAAACCAATTTAATTAATGAAATGTCGCTATTTCTTTTTTTATGAAATTTATTTAATGTAACTTTAATTAATGTTAACAAATCAGTTTAAGCGGGAAGTAGAACTATTTCAACCATAACAAAATATGAGAAGACAGATCTCATTTTTTTTGAAACTGATTACGTAAAATCACATGTTTTCATAAATATATTGATAGACCAGTTTAAATAATTGAATATTTTGATAAAGTAACAGAATCCAGCATTTGATTTTGTTTCTAATTCAAAGATTCGGCTTTTTACGTGACAAATACGGACTTTACCAATTGGTTAAGGTCGCCGATATAAAATAACTTTCTCCCTAACTGCTGTGGGCCTCAATTTTGACAGGAACTTTGGAGTATTTTTTTTAGGTAACAGGAGGTTGTTTGTACAGCCCAGGTGCCCGCTTGTGCATGGAATATTGTACGAATGGGTATCCGAGTTGTTTTCCACCAGTAAAGCTGGAAAGTTATAATGTTTCCTTTCAATCTAACAACAAAACAAACACTTAAGATAAGAACATTAAAAAAATGTATGAATGGCAAATAATTGTTTTTTCTAGCCATATATGTAAGAGACCTTTTTATGAGACGCCATCACAAAAAAGCAAACAAGACTTCGTTTCATTTATTATAATGTTGATGCTATATTTCATTACTGCATTAATTGATGTCAGAAACGTCCCATTGCAGTGATTTGAAAGCCTCTGTTCTACAAGTCGGTGCAGACGACATATTTACGGAATCGAACATTTGGAATCGAACATGCCGTATAGTTATGCGTTTGGAACCTTTTCAAATTGTATGATACGTTTTTATTTGTATGCTCCCATGCATAAACTACATAATATATATAATAAACCACCTGCTACAAAGCAAATATATTTCCATTTGTTAGTCTTCATATTGTCTAGACAAAGCTTTACTGGATACATGAAATGAAATGTTTTATTAACATTAACGTAAAATTATAATATTGAAATGTCTTCACGATTACATGATTCTACGTCACTAAACACAATGTTTATTTTTTCACTATTTAGACAGCTCTTTGATAATATATAGAAATAAGAGTTTAATAAAAGTGAATTAGCGACGGTGGATATAAAGTTATCAATAGTAATTCAATGTGGTTAATGAGATGTGTAAAACAGTAGTATAAATGTCTGGTGACCACTTTTATCCTTTAACATTAAAACCATTGTCAAGTACCAAAGTACCTAGACCACTTGGCGATTATGATTTGCGTGGTACCAGTACCAAAGACGATCGAGGTTTT